GGTAGAACAGGACACAAAAATAACAAACCAAAAATCATCCTGTTTCTACATAGTATATGCACATTCCAGAAAAGAAGTTTAGGAAAATCTCAGTTAGAGTACCATGAAGCATAACAAAGTATCTAGGAATTAAGGAGGTGAAGGATTTGTGCAGTGACAACTACAACACACTACTGAAGAAATTACAGGTGATAAATACATGGAAAGACTACCTGGGTTCAGGGGCAGGAAGATTTAATATGGTTGAGATGTTTCAGGGGCACAATGATACATCGTGTAACTCCAGAACTCAGGAGACTGAGCTGGATTATAAATCAAGGCCAGCCTGAACTACATAATGGAAGCATGTCTTCAGAACAAATAAGCAAATGAACAAAGATTTTGTTAGAGTTCAGATCTGGAATGACATATAAAACATCATGTAGGGCTGGAGAGATGGCTCAGAGGTTAAGAGCACTGACTGCTCTTCCAGGGGTCCTGAGTTCAATTCCCAGCAACCACATGATGGCTCACAACCATCTACAATTCAATCTGGTGCCCTCTTCTGGCATGTAGGTAGAACACTGTATATGTAATAAATAAATAAATCTTTAAAAAAAAAACATAAACCATCATGTATACTGGGAGGTGGTAGACTCCTTAAGAGAAGTGCTCTCTAACTGAAATCGAGCTCATCAACTGGCTAGGCTAGCAGGTCAGGGATCCGCCCTCTTCAGTTCTGCCTACCACTCCCCCAGAAGTGCTAGGGTTACAAACATGCCTGGCTTTACTTTATATAGGTACTAGGGATATGAACTCAGGTCCTCATGTTGCCATGGCAGGCTCTTTGCCAACTGAGTCATCTTCCCAGTCCTCAGAAAGGGTTTTCTGGTTCCTTTGCTGGCTTGCTTGCTTGCTTTAAAAAAACAAAAAACAGAATTCAAAGACGGCTGGTAGGATCTGAAGAAACAAGACCCCTGCACTATGCTTCATTGTGCCACACAGACATTTGGTTTCCAGATCACTTACCTAACAAAGGAGTAATATCCTGAATATATAAGAGTTCCTAAAAATGTAAACAGCAACAAAATAAGACAAATAACCTAAGCTCCTAAAACCCAACAATGAAAAGACAGCCCAATTAAAAATGGGCAAAAACCTTGAGTAAACATATATTTTTTAAAAAGATGCACCATTAAACAGATGAAATGATGCCCAACATTACTAATTACTAGGAAAATGCAAAGCAGTGCCACAATAAATATGGCTTCACACCAATTAGGGTGGTTATTGCCGAAACCAAAACCAAAACCAATAATGAGCCCTGGGGAGATGCCAGACAGAGTGGAGTCCCTAAATGATTCCCCTGCTGTAGGGAACAGAAGGATGTTTTCTGACGAAGCAACAGACACAGCCATCGTTGGTTCTGCGTTCCACCTCTAGGTCACCCCGTGTGGGGGTGTGAGTGACAATGACCCCCACAGGCTCATAGGGAGTGGTACTGTTAGGATGCATGTCCTCGTTGGATGTAGAACTCTCCTCAGCTCCTTCTCCATCACCATGTCTGCCTGTGTGCTGCCATGCTTCCTGGCATGATGATAATGAACTGAACCTCTGAGCTATAAATGTTCAGAAGCTCAAGACAGCCCCAGTTAACTGTTTTCCTTTATAAGAGCTGCTGCGTTCATGGTGTCTCTTCACAGCTGTAGGAATCCAAACTAAGACATACCCAGAAGCCAGGGTATGCAGTGGACATGTCCACCGATGAGGGAATGGGTAGGAAAGGTACAGTGTAGACACACAGTGAGTGTTATTTGATCCCCCAAAGAATGCAATAAACACCATGGACATAAGCAACATGGATGAGCCCTGAAGAAGATCTTATGCCAAGTGAGACATGCCAGACACAAAAGGACTGATCTAAATCATGTTCAGAATGTAAACTGCACCCTATAGCCTCATGTGCTTAAGCATTTGGACCCAGCTGGTGTTGCTGTTTTGTAAGGTTGTGGAACTGTTAGGAGGTAGGGCCTAGCTGGGAGTCACTGGCCATAGGACTTGAGGATCAGCACCCTGGTCCCAGTTTGTCCTGTCTATTTTCTGAGAAGACTTGAAGAGCAGATGTATCATATTCCTACTGTCATGTCTACCCTGCCATGGTGGACTAGATGCCTTCATAAACAGCCAGCCATAACAAACCCTTGCCTGTTTCTGGGACAGCAGAGTCTTAGACTTTTGATAAATAGATCAGACTTTTTAAAAGATTTGGGTCATCATATGGTAGTGTTTTCAGCAATCATAAATCATCAAAATCCCTTTCGTCATACCAGAATTTACACCTTTCAGTCTTCTGCTCCCTCCTATTATGCATATCCACGTGCATACAATTCTGGGTGGTTAGGAAAGGGCATCCACCCCTATGAGCAGGAAAGACGCCAGCTGCGTGGAGGGCACAGAGAAGAAGATGGGTTTCCATTTGCATCTGCCTCTCAGCTGGGAAGTTTCTGTTGTGAGTGCCGTGAACAACTGTCCATGTGACGTTAGCCACACTTTCCAATCAGAACAGTGCTATATTTTATAGACCTTATATTATATAGAGCCAGCATGGGCTACATAGCAAGACACTGCCTTTCAAAATTACAAAGTAAACAACAAAAAATAAAATGCAAGTTTTTTAAGCTTAATGCAGCTTCCTGAAACAGCTGTCTCTGAAAATCACGTTCAATCAAGATCTGTTCTTTTCAGTTGTTTTATGGATGATATACAGCTACATCTCTTCCTAACTGCTGGTTGCTATTTCACAACCACAAGGATATGCAAGACGTTCTGGGTTCCTGAACTCTGACCCTCCATCTCAGAATGCCCTAAGAGATTAGACAGTGGGGAAAAGTCTGTTTTTCTCTATTTCCTGCTCATCAGCTGGCTCCTAGTAACACAAGTCATGTATTAATGGATGGGGCATCTCTGGCCCTGCTCTCCAAAGCTGATCCACCAATGTCAGGTCAAAAGCAGTTGTACAGTCAACACGTGTGATTTCAGGGAAGTAGGGACTGCTGAGATGGCTGCTGAGCAAGTATGAGGATATGTGTGTGTGTGTGTGTGTGTGTGAGAGAGAGAGAGAGAGAGAGAGAGAGAGAGAGAGACAGAGAGAGAGAGAGAGAGAGAGAGAGAGAGTAGAAATAAGCAGACCCATGGGGGTTACAGGCCAGCCATTCTACCTAATCTGTGAGCTCCAAGTTCTGTGAGAGACAGAGAGACATCTCAAAACACAAGTTAGAGAGTGATAATGGAAGATACCTGACCTCAACCTTCTCCACATGCATTCATACACATGTACACTCACATATATGCACGACAAGCAAAAAGGTAGAAGCATGGTCCATGTGCACTAGGCTCTATGCTGCCTTGGTTTTCAGGGTTAGGGCAGTAGTCAGGGCCTCACACTGTAAGCAAGCACTCTGCCACTTGGCCTCAGCCACAGCCCTGCCCTGATGGGCTGTTTAGGACAAGGTGTAGTATATATCACACCCTGACTAAGTGATGGGTTCATCTGAACAAACCTGGAAAAGTAAGATGACCAGATAATGCTGAATCAGCAAGGGTGTCAGGTTTTTGTTTCTTATCCACAGACATGGAAGGTGCCAGGGCAGGTACCCAAGGGAGAAAGAGGAGATCCAGCCGTGTAGCCCAGACTTTGAGAAAGACAGGGAAGCATAAACAAATTTTCTCCACAGATCTGCTGTCTCTAAGTTATGTCAATTTTCCAATGCCCTCCAACCATTTACCAAATAGGTAGCATCTAATCCTGGAGTATACAATTAGACCTTCTCTTTGTTCCCCGCATCCTGTTGTAACAGAGTCACAAACCTTGGTAGCCCCCCCCCACCTTAGCACAACTGACTCCATATTGGGAGTGCCATTCAGGCTGTAAAACTCAGCACACAGCACCACCTGCCAAAATATGAAACAAAACAAACAAACAAAACAAAAGAAAACCTAATCCCGCAAAGTCCATAATTCTGGGAAAGTCTCTAAATGTACTAACCTTGCTTTTTGGCTTCTGGAGAGTTTTGTTTCTGGCTAACTGTTCTTGGTACCTGAAGCATGTCAACACAGGACATGTTTGCACTTAAAGTCTCACCCTGAGAAAGGCTCTGGGCTACACTGGGGTCCCAAACATCCAGTGTAGCTACTGGACACTAACGAAGACTTTCTGTTGGCTTCAGCCTAGGTCCGAGCAGTCTTCCCTGGTGGATAACGCACATCTGTTACTTGGACCTTAGGTGAGTGGATTGAGTCACGTATGCAGCTGCCTGTGAATCTTCATCTAAGATAAACCTAAGCGGTGCTGGCTGCTTATCTGCAATTCATAAACCTTAGATGCCCTGAAGCACTTTTTGTTATGATAAAACTCGTGGGGAACCTTGGTGGATTCCACGGCAGGCTGGGGTGACCGAGGCAGAGAGACACACTGAGAAGTTGTATTAGGAAGGGAAAGTGGAGGAGGAAAGAGATAAAGAGACACAGAGACAAAGACAGGACAGAAGAGAAGAGGGAGACAGGAGAAGTCCTGTCTGCCCCAAGGGAACAGCAGGAAAGAGAGAGCGGAAAGAGAGAATGTAAGTGGGTGGGGGTCTTTCTTTTAAAGGGGTCCTTTGTACCTGCACGCTGACCAGGGTTCTGCCTGAGTGCATTCTGTCAGGTGACAGGGGCAGCCAGCATAATGCCTGAATCCTTATACTTCTTTGTCTTGAAAATGCTCCATCATATTTTATTCTCTACAGTAGCGGTTGCTTTTCCTTAGATTTGCTCAATTTTAGTTCTATTTGAGGAAGAACAAGGCAACACATCCGAGAATGTTTTTCCTGGATAGGATAGTTCTGTCCAGGCTTCCTGCGAAGGAAAACAGATTTGGCTCAAGAACCATCATCACGTGGCCAGAACCTGCCACCCTTTGGCTCACAGGCTTTTTTTCTGCCGACAAGGGTGAAAAAGTTAGAGGTGGTGTAATCTCTGCCCTCCGGGGCTCCCCTGTAGCTCTGTGCCTGCATGCGTTGTCACTGCAGCAGAAGTGTGGGACAGGTGTGGTCAGGCGACGCCCCGTGGGAACCGCCGCAGAGCCGAGAAGTATTTGACACAAGAAAACAAGTTTAAAAAACACGAAGACTGAGGTGAGAGGTTCTCCAGGGGAGGCAGCCAGGACTCTGAGAGGGCGGGAAGCTTGTCCTGGTGGTGAGAACACCTGCAATCCCAGGACTCCGAGACCACCGTGGGAAGACAGTGCGCTACACAGGGAGATCTAGTCTCAGTAACAAAACAAGGGCAGACGGTACTGTCTGCTCTGAGGCAGTGTCTTCTAGCCTGTTAGCCAACAAGAAGTAGGACTTTCGAGATTAATCCACCGGGTTCAGCTGTCTGAAGCTTTGGATTTAGGTACTTTTTCCAGCCATTGAGAGACTGCTGGATGGGAAGTCATTGGTTTGTCTGTTGAGATCAAGCATGACTGTCTTTCCCCCCTGAGTGTAACATGTGTAAGAGAACTCTGAGCTTCTTTACAACTCGATAATCATTTTAAAAAAGATTTATTATGTATACAGTGTTCTGCCTGCATGTATGCCTACAGGCCAGAAGAGGGCATCAGTCTCATTACAGATGGTTGTGACCTACCATCTAGTTCCTGGGAATTGAAGTCAGGACGTCTGGAAGGGCAGTTAGTGCTCTTAACTGCTGAGCCATCTCTCCAGCTCATAATCCAACAATCTTAAAAATAGGAAACCAGATGAGAAAAAAGAATGAAACCAAGGGAAATGTAGGTGCTGCTGTGAATTGAATTGCGTCTCCAGCACGCATGTTGGAGTCCTAACCCCAGTCCTCAGACTATTATCCCATCCTTTCAGATTTAGCCAAACCAGGATGAGGTCACTGGCACACAGGGAATGTTGTGTTATGGGAGGTGGAGGGTGTGGGAGGTATGGAGGGTGTGGTGTGGAGGATTGGAGGGTGTGGAAGGCTAGAGGGTACACAGGGTTGTAGGGAGTACAGTGTTGGGTGTAGGGAGTTGAAGGGTTGTAGGGCATACAGTGTTAGAGGTATGGGCAATTGGAGGGTTGGAGGAAGTAGAGGGCTGGGGGGTTGAAAGTTGGAAGGTATAAGGGGTTGAAGGTTTGGAGCATGTAGTGGGTTGGGGGGGTATGGAGAGTCGCAGGTAGGGTGTGGAGGGTTCAAGGGTTGGAGGATCTAGAGCAGTGATTCTCACCCTGTGACCCTTTAATGCAGTTCCTCATGTTGTGGTGACCCCGAACCATAATATTATTTCACTGCTACTCCATAACTGTAATTTTGCTACTGTTAATGAATCTTAATGTAAGCAGCTGTGTTTTCTGATGGTTTTAGGTGATTCCTTTGAAGGGGTTGTTCACCCTCAAAGACGTCTTGACGCCCACATGAGAAGTGCTGCAGTAGAAGGTTGAAAGTCTGGAGGTGTAGTGGATTGGAGGGTGTGGAGGGTTGGATGATACAGAAAATGGGGGCAATGCAACTGCATCCAAGGAGGAACTGAGACTTCCAGAAGCAGGGGGTCTGCAGTCACTCTTCCCTGACACTTTAGTAGGAAGCAGGGCCGTGCCAATAACTCCATTTTGGAGTTTTATCCTCTGGAACTGTACAGCAATAAATTTTTGTTTTAAGTCATGCATCTTGTGGTTAACAGATGTGTCCTGTCACCCATATAAAACTGTCATAGCAATGGAAACCATGAATTCAGTGTAGCTAAATCCTGTATTGGTGAGATGAATATAAGATCCTCTAAGGATTGACAGAGGTCATCAGTTTCTCAAGTAAAACTTCAGGAAAGTGTCTGGCAGACACACAGAGCACAGACCCCGAGCTCACAATTATCTATGTGACTTTGGGCAACCTCCTAACTGTCCTGGAAGCATTCGTCAAAGGGCAAAGCTTTACCATTAATCAACAGGATGTGAACTCAACACAGCATGTCAGCATAGAACACACATTTCACCTGTGTGGGACTCCATGGAGTACCACAGCACCATGGCAGTCCTCTGCAGAGCACTAATATCTGGTCTTGGATTGTATCTGGTATTCCCATGGATATCTCGTAAAGAGGGTATGCTCCAGCCGGGCCCAGGTCCCTCTGAGCCCATTTAGCATTGACAGGCTCACATCTGAGATCTTGTCCAGTGGTCTGTTCTCAGACTCCTGAAGACAGTTTCCATACTCAGGCTGCCACACATGTCTAAGAGGTCACACCCTCCAAACAGGGGAGTTGTGACTGAGACTTGAAGGGTGCAGGAGTGGAGCAGCCACTCCTTGGCCTGGCTTCAGAGAAACCTGTGGCATCCACCTCAGGATCCAGGAATCTATCTGAAGCCACAGGCTTTGCCTGACATCACACCATTGTGTGGTCTTTCCTCCTCCCACAATGGCCTTCCTAACAAACACATTCTTAATGAGCCACTTACCCTCACATCCATCACATTGAACTCTGTCTTCTAAATGTCATTTGGTGAAGAGATACCACAGGAAGCCTAAAGGACTGGCCAGATTGTGCACTCAAGTCATTCATTATTTTAACATATATGATTATTAGTTACCCCTTGTTCATGTGCCTGATATCAACACCATATTCAACTCAAATTCTCATACAGAACAGGTAGCTTTGACCTTGTGTTAGGTTTCTATCACTGAAACACCTGAAAAATATCAATCTAACGAAGGAAAAGGTTAATGTTGGCTCATAAATTTTATTAACCCCATGGCATTAAATTTATAGCCTAAAGCCACTTAGCCTTGTTGCTTTGGGCCTGTAGCTGAATAGAACATAACTGTGGCACATGTGGTGGAGGAGGCTGCTCATCTCACGGGAACCGGGCAGCTAAAGAGAGGAAGGGGTCAGACTAGGTATGGAGCACAGAATAGCACTTGCCTAGTACACATGAGGCCCCAGGTTCAAGCACCAGTATAGAAATGGGCATGGGATCCCAACAGCATTGTTGTTTTTAACAAAGCCTCAATCGTTCAATTTTACCAATAAAGACTCAGGAGACAGATGCTGGGGTGAGAGCCTGCTAGCTGAGAGAGACAGACAGAACACCCAGCTGACATTCCTCCTTCACTGATGTCCTAGAAAACTCTCTCGCCTACGATATCTCCAACAAACAAACTTCAAACTAAATGTCCCTCCCTTCTAGTTCCTGTGCATCTATCTGCTCTCCTGACTCCCTCTTACTCTGTTTTTTTCTTCCTCATTCACTTCCTGTCAACTGGTTGCTTGCTCTACCTCTTGACCCATGTGACTTTATTTAATCCTGTTTACAATAAGCAGAAAGCTCTTGGAGTAAAGGTGTGTGCTAGGGCTGAGCCACACCACAACTGGATCAAATTTCCTGTGATACATCCTAGCCTCAGTAACCTCTATTTCTCCTACTAAGTCACACCTCCTAAAGGTCACACCGTCTCCCAGCAGTGCTGAGAACACACTGGCCTCTGTGGGGACATTCTTTAAGTGAGGGTACAGTGAAACCACCGGACTAGACCACTCTGTGGGTAGAAGGAAAAGTTTATAGGTGGAACACACTTCCAGACTGCACCAGAGAGTAGAGTATAGCAGATTATCTTATATGGTGGTCAGTAGTGTGGGTTAAGATTAACTAGGAACAGAGATACCTTTGATGAAGGTAGTTGACTATGGGCAGATAAGGAAGTAGTGACCTTCCTGGTAACAGAAACTCCACCTTACCAGATTCCTTAGAACATTGTTGGCAGCATTGCTATTTGGGGGTCTGCTTTGATCCTGATACATTCAAGGTCTAAATTATAGCAATTCTTACAACATTAAATTTGACTTTTTTGTTTGTTTTTTCAAGACAGGGTTTCTCTGTATAGCCCTGGTGACCTGAAACTCCCTCTGTACAAACAGGCTGGTCTTGAACTCAGAGATTCACCTGTCTCTGTCTCCTGAGTGCTGGCTGTGCTAAATTTTAGATTTTTAAAATTACATCTATTAATTGAATTTGTGTATGTGCGTACACACACACATTGCATGTGTGTATATGTCAGAGGCCGAGTTGTGGGAGTCAGTTATTTCCTGGCACCATTGGGGTCCCAAGGATCAAACTCTTGTCGTCAGGGAGAGTGCTTTTACCCACTGAGCTATCTCACTGTCCACCAGCATTGTGTTTTAAATGACCACAAATTCTTTTTCACAAAGAGGTAAGGTCTTTGTCACTTCCCTAGAGTAGAGCTCTTTGGAGAGAAACATGCTTAGTTTTGATGACACTAAATCCAAGCCCTGAATGTTCTAGAATTTCCTTTCCCAGGTGATAGTATCAAGCTGTGGGGTGAAAGGATCTAATGAAAGGATACAGATACTTGCTTTTATATGTAGTCTGATGATGTTTTCCTCGTAGCTGAAGTATTTAGCTCATTTACATTTAATGTACTTGCTAATATAATTGGGCTTGAATTGTCATTTTTCTATTTGTTTCATCAGGCTTTTACTTATTAATTTATTTTTTCTTGAAGTCTTAGGCTTAATAAAATCCTTGACTAAAATTAACATCTCTGATGCAGGGAAGTTAGAAGGATGGCTTAACAGTTAAGAACATATACTGTTCTTGTAGAAGACCCAAGTTAGAGCCCCAGCAACCCATGTCACCTCTAACTCCAGATTCAGAGGGTTCTAACCACTCTGGCATCTATGGACAAATGTACTCATGTGCACATACTGTTCCCCCATTGCACAGAAACATAGACATAAGAAATGTAAATCCTGGTTGGGCGTTGGTGGCGCATGCCTTTAATCCCAGCACTCGGGAGACAGAGGCAGGCGGATCTCTGTGAGTTCGAGGCCAGCCTGGTCTACAGAGTGAGTTCCAGGATAGCCTCCAAAGCCACAGAGAAACCCTGTCTCGAAAAACCAAAAAAAGAAAAAAGAAAAAAAAGAAATGTAAATCCTGTTTTTTGTTTTGTTTTGTTCTGGAACTCATTCTGTAAACCAGGCTGGCCTCAAACTCAGAGATCTGCCTACTTCTGCCTCCAAGTGCTGGGCCTTTTGCTATGTTTTGGTTTTGTTTTGTTTTGGTTTTGGTTTTACGAGACAGAGTTTCTCTGTATTGTTTTGGAGGCTGTCGGTCCAGCCTAGCCTCGAACTCACAGAGGCCATAGGCCAGACACATTGTGGCCTATGGGCTGAAGATGGATGCTCCAACGTTACAGTGGAACTTCGGGTAACTGTCCAGGCAGTAAGATGTCTCTGTCAATCCTAGTGTTTATATATTATCCTTCTGTGGTCTTTGATGGAGTTGAAGATAGATAGTTATAATTATAGTTTTCCTTAGTTATGATAAAAGATAAGCTACATATAGAACTTTGGACTCACAAGGATGGGATAGATGATATTTTCTTTAAATCTTGCTGAATGTTGATAGACAAAATGTTGTAACTCTGTTCTTACTTGATAACTGTTCTGTTATATATAATTTGACTATGCTAAAGTTAAGAACTTTCTTTTTGTTTAAACAGAAAAGAGGAGATGTTGGGGAAGTCCTGTTATTTGTCAATAAAGCACTGTCTGGCCAATAGGGAATCTAGATAGGAGGGACTAGGAGTCCAGAAGGACTCTGGGTAGGAGAAACACAGGAGAGTCAACATGTAACGCCATGGGGTAGGAAGCCCAGAACTATTCTCTGGTAAGAAACATACTTAGATTAACAATTATGGGGTAATTACTTAAGTCAGAGCTAGCCAGTAAGAAACAAGCAAGGCCAACAGCTTCATAATTAATATAGCCTCCAGTGTGTTTATTTGGGACTGATGCGGCTCTAGAACCAGGCTGGCGGGAAGGCTCTTCTCAAGGAAAAAGTTTCTCTTTACAGACTTTCTTTTTTTCTTTCTTTTTTTTTTCTGAGACAGGGTTTCTCTGTGGCTTTGGAGACTGTCCTGGAACTAGCTCTTGTAGACCAGGCTGGCCTCGAACTCACAGAGATCCGCCTGCCTCTGCCTCCTGAGTGCTGGGATTAAAGGCGTGCACCACCAATGCCCAGCATCATCATTGGTTTTCTATTTGGAGTAACTAGATGTTTGCCATGCCTTCAAGGAATAGTGTCAAACGACAACCATAAACTTTTGATCCTTCTTAGTCTTGAGATTATATAGTTCATAGCTGTGTGCTCCCTGTTCCAATCTTATAATCTTTTTTTCCATCTTCCTTTTTTTAAATTTAAGTTAGAAACAAGCTTGTTTCACCTGTCAATCCCAGCTCACTTTCCCTCCCCTCCTCCCCTGCCCTCCCCACCAGACCCCCAGTCTCCCACCCAATCTCCACTCTGATCCCCAGGGAGGGTGAGGCCCTCCGTGGTGGATCTCCAGAGTCTGTCATTTCATCCAGGGCAGGGCCTAGGCCTTCCCACAAGAGATTGTGGGATGGGCACTCAAAGTCTATTTGTACGCCAGGGATAAATACTACCCAAGGCCCCAGAGATTGCTGAGGCCTCCTCACTGACACCTCATTCAGGGGGGTCTGGATCAGTCCCATGCTGGCCTCTCAGCCATCAGTCTGGGGTCCAAGAGCTCCCCCTTGTCAGGTCTGCTGTCTCTGTGGGTTTCACCAGCACGGTCTTGACCCCTTGGCTCATCACTCCATCCTCTCTCTCACTGGGTTCCAGGAGTTC